CATCACTATTAGAAAACTAATAACGTGGGCTCAGGTCCGCTCAGGTGCTCGATCTGGCATTTCGCCCCCACTACAAGCTGGACTGAAATGTCTTACTCACACTCGATCGTAGTCGACAGTGCGTTAATTGGAATATTCGCCACTCTAAATGTACGTTAATTGACAGCTGTCAAACTAGAGCATCCGCTGACCAGTATCACCTGACTGTATCGCGGGGTCATTTTTCTACCTACTGAGGTCGCGTATTTTTTAGTTTTCTACTGATATTTTATTTGATCACGGGCTCAATTCTGTATTTTGAGCGGAGCCTCATAGCTTAGAAAATCTACCCATCCTAGAAAATTAGGCAATCACGTGACCTTACACCGACCATCCGACCTTCTGTCAGTCCGCACCACAGGCATACCAATTTTTAATCTCACTCTTTCTAACATGTTTGGGAGCCTGCGACCTGATATTGTACATTCATGTTTTGATCAATTGACAGCTTTCAAAGCAGTGTATCCGCTGACCAATATCGCCTGACCGTATCGCGGGTGCAAGTATCAACACACTGAGTTCAAGTGTTTTTTGAAGTTATCCACTGACAAGTTGCCGCTTTTCAGTTGATCGCAGGCTCAAGTTCAATTCTTTTAAAATGCATGCTTACTAAGTCGCCCTTGCTTAAAAGCTTCTAGAAATTTTTTGATCGCAAATACAAAGAAAACATTCCGAAGAAAATTTTTTTTATGATTTTAGCTGTAAAAAGAAAGCTCTGAGCGATTTTCTTGCTTCGAGTTCATCTTGAAAAATTGCAAACACCGGGAGGCCGGCTTGACATAAATAAGCTTATGCTTACCTGACTCATGATTTTCAGAGACACTTTACTCTCAATACTTGATGAATGAAAATTATTGTCTCTGTTCCTGTTTCACCGAATTATATTTTATTGATTGTTAATAGTGGCAGACCCCTCTCGCAATTTTTATCGCTGCGCCGGTTGTTTTCAGTCGTACACAGTACCGCTAAACATGGCGTGCAGGGGTATGCTCAAAATGCCGCGCGTAAATATCAACTCGTATTACACATAACAAAACCGTAAACATTTTTATAAGTAAAGGGAAATAAAACCTAAACATAACAAATTCTCTATCGTGTTGAAGGGTAAATGGTAACTCTATTAATGTTCATTCAAACACTTGCCAGATCGAACTGCAAATTTGTTGCTTGTCAAAAGTGAAAACCCGTCCGGCTGGCCGAAAAGGTGATTTTGGGAATTTTTTTATCGTTTTCACTGAAAGCCCATAGTTATTACCCTGCAAATCACATAGGACCAGCTTTTTCTGACTGAAAAGTCCCGGCATTATGGAATTTTTTTTCATGAAGACGTTTTATAATGTGGTCAAGTCTACAAAGGAAGCGCGTGCTTCGATCGTCCTGGATATTGAATGAGTGCAATTTGTCTTGTAAAATTGTGAAAAACTGCAGAATTATAGGTTTAAATAGTTAAAAAAAGAACAAATTCTGTCCGAGGTCTATATGGTAAAATACAGCACAAGCCTCACAATAGTGTTTACCTCAGACGTGATGAAAAAACGTATATTTAAAAGACTGGTTTACACGCCACCAGATTTGTCGCCAAGATTTACTTGTAAAGTAAACTTGTCTTACACAAAATTCCGGCCTGATTTTATATGTGGGCTTCCCTTTTAGACAGAGAAATGCAACGTGCAAATTGGCTGCCACCGAGAACTATCGTGCTTTTCATAAAATTACAATTCGGGGCTGTCCAATTATCCATGGTCTCTCCAACGAAGTGGTTGGAGAGACTATGAATTAACCTTATAAAATTAAGGTGGTGGGCGACTGGGTAAATTTTGCTTGAGAAGAATTTGTTTTCCAGGCCTCACTCTTGGACTGTCATATTAGTTTTTTCTTTCATAACAAAAACGATAATGGCAAATTATGGGTAGAAGTAATCATTGTTACTTCTTTGGATGCTGTAGCGACCGTAGATGTCCTCGCAGCAAACAATAATGACGTAAATCTTGTCGAAACTCGAAATGTACTTTTTGTTAGACTATTAAATCGTCGTCTTGTGTTGACAGCATAAACAAATTCGACCACCATTTCTTGCGTTGGCAGCTTCTATCATTTTTTTGCCCCCTGAGAGACCACGTGACATTGCTTTCTTCCCATCAGTCCTTTAGCATGTGCAAAGATGGCGGGTATCGTGAATAAGATCTATTCTCCCGCATTCTTAGACGATGAAACGGCGAGTCAATTGTTTACGAGATGGCACCCCTGATCAATGGATCTTTGAGCTTTCCGCCCAAAAAATGGCTGTTTTAAAAGTACCAACTTATAAACATTATTGGCACACCACTCTACATTTTTACTAGCCCTAAACTGTCTTACGTTTAAAATTAATGAAAGGGCTTCTTTACGAGGACCGTGACTAACTTTGCATATGCATTACATGCTGTCGCGTTATTTCCGCAGATACGGTGGTTGCTACAAAGATGGGCGATGACTTGGACCAAATAGATGACGTGGGGGAAATTGTCGAAATAATGAAGTCCTTACATATTCCGACAAAAGGATTAGACGGTTTTGAGGCAATGAAAGATAAACTACGAGACTTTCTAAAAAAGTCGGCCACGAAAAGGGTTAGCGAGGTCAGTGCCATATTTTTTTTCTAATCGTCCTTGCATAATTATATTGTAAGCAAATTCTACGATTTTCAGCGAACTGTAATGCAAATTTCGTCCCTTCAATATTATTGCTAACAGAGGTTAAAAATTGGTTTTTCTTGGTCGAAGTTGTTAGTCAAGAGCAATCGTCTTCACGTCCTCGGTCTTTCGTCTTCCCTGTGAAACGTTAATTTAGTCACCAATGTCAGAAGATAACATTTTCCGACACCAAGAAAGTCTAGTTCTGACAAACGGTCTCTTCTTCTCAGAATGTGTAACCTGCAAACTATCTATGGAAAACAATCCGCAGATAAATGCAGGCTGTCTTGCTTGGAGTTTTCACAGAAAAGTTTCAGTGAAGTTTGAATAATACGTGGCGAGATTTAGCCTGAATTTCCGAGCAGTAGATTACTCCGACTCACTTTTACTCCCTCAGTAAACGAATCGAAGTAATCGTTTGAAGTTCAGGCTAGCCAATAAAAAAGACAAAAAAAAAATACATTTGCAGTGATTTAATGATTATGATTTTCTTTGTTTCTAGCCTTACCAAGTAATCTCTAACGCTAGTAAGTCAGATGAAAGAAAACGCAAGAAACTCCAAGACATTTACAAAAACACTTCAGACTTTTTGGATAAGCTTGACCCTGGGTTGAAAATCTCCCTCCAGGAAAGCTTTGGAGACCTCGAAACAACCATAAGGGAAAGTATAACAAAGTTAGAGCCAAGAAACGAGTATACTGTCCTTGTCGCCGGTAAGATCATGATAAATCCCATTATTCAAAATTTACCAAAGCAGTAAATTTTACCCGCAAATTTATGAATTTGTTCAAACCAACACGTCACAGAACAAACAAACAACAAATTTGTTCAAACTCAACCCAGTAATGTATAGTACTTTCAGTCAAAGGCTTCGGAAAGGTTAAACAAGGTAGCAATAACTGTTCATGATTGTTCTTTCGAGACAGAGATTTTTGAGAGAATCACTAAACTTCGAAAATTTTGATCCTTCTCGACAGGATATTCGCGGTTTATAGGGCTTTCCACAAGTTGCTCGAGGTTTAATTTTCCATTATGGCTCTGGTTGGACAACAAGTAAGATTTCTAAGCTTTTTTGTGTAATTTTGCGGCCTAATCAGCGTTGCTAAGTAAATTTGTTCCTAATTAAACCCAAAAAATGTAACGAGCCAATAAAATTGTTGAATGACCCGAGACATTGAAGTCAGTCGAGTGTGAATCTTCGTCCACCATTTTGAATTTTCTCAAAAAACCGCTGGCCTAGCAGCTCTGCTACTTCTATCTTGCGCCCATGATCTGCCCCAGGTAGGAGAATTTGGCTCCTTTTTTTTTATAGGAAATTCATAAATTGTCTACTAAAACATTGTGCAATATGGAAAAAAGCCAATTTCAGCACTAAAAGCTGCTTCGATATCTCAGAATTGGAGATAACTAGAGAAATTGCTCAGAATGCAAAAAGTTGCTCGAAACGAAAGAAGTTGCTCGGAATACGAGAAGTTGCCAAAAAAGTTGCCGATCAACTTGTGGAGAGCCCTATTCGCGGTTGGTCACCCATTCAGTTCCTAACCCCTCCCCCACCACACACTGTAACTTTTGATATCCGGGAGGTTTTGCGAGATACGAATTTCCGCAGGCGAGCCTTCCTTAAGCGACCATCCTAGGTGCAAATATTTAGTGGTCGCCTACTGGTCCTTACGGTAATCATTTCAACCACAGGGGATCTCTTTCGAAAAGAGGTCTAATGCAACATAACTACGTTTATGCAGAAAATTTATTGCAAGCAATTTCGTATGTAATTATTCTTGTATACGGTAAGAATTGTAGTACAATACCGTACTTATGAGACAGAGGTAGTCGTGCGCTTACAAGAAGTAATCTCTGCGGCACATTTGGAGGTATCGACTGCACCAAAAGTATTTAAAGGAAGACCGTCTTATAGTCCCCCTTGAGCAATGTTGTTGAGAAATCAAAGCAAAGAGGGAAGAAGCCATTCAGAGGCAGCTTTTTTGGGTTTTTCTAAAGGGAGACTAGCCTGTGCTCTTCCACCCGGCGCCTTCTCCAGTAACGTTTGCTTTCTTAAACGAGGTAATTAAGGTCATGGTCACTGATTCCTCGCTCTATTTTTTTTCTCCTCATTTCACTCTCTGAACGCCTGCAGAAACAGGCTTACACCCTAACGCCTATTCTTAAGATCATACCCTGCATCATCCAATGATTGCTGTAAATCAGATGAAATGTTTAACAGGACATTCAACGATTTTTTACGTGCTCCTGATATAATAATATCTCTTTGTTTTGGATTGTCTTTGATGAATAGGCGAAACGAGTGCTGGCAAAAGTAGCGTTATTAATTTGATCCTCGGAGAAGAAGTTCTTCCTTCCTCACTCCTGTGTACAACTTCTACCATCTGCGAGCTGAAATATGGAGAGAAAAAAATAATCAACGTGCATTTCAAGGATGACGGAACACAGACGCGTGACCCAGAAATGCATGAACTGAATGAAAGTCCTGATGAAGACTACACAGCTCAGATCAGTAGATTTGTCAGCTTAAAAACTGATCGAGACAAGACACCGTACAAGAAGATAGAGCTGTTTTGGCCACACCCTCTGCTTAAGGTAATGGAAAAGTTATGTGTTTGTTTTTCTTTTTTATAGAAATTTGCACCAGAAATTATTTGACCTTGGCAGATGTACCATACCCAGACGAAAATATAGTTTCAAGAGAATGGTTTAACAATTTAAATTTAATTTGCAATTAGCAGTCAGTTCAATGACATCTCTGTGAATATTCTGTGAGGTCTTAAATTGAACCAACGACGAAACCAACCTCAAGGGCCAGCTGTAAGGTCCAGAATACTGGCCGGCATCTGCTAATAGGTTCTTTCATGCCGGTCTGGAACCTCGTAGCGAACGGAAACGGGTTTTTGATGAATGAATGAATGAATGAATGAATAAATGAATAAATGAATGATTGGATGAATGAATGAATCTGCCACGTCCCCAGTCGCTGGTGATCACTTATTGGAGGATATTTGAGTTAATTACTAAGGAAAGCGGGCCGAAAGGAGTTACTCACCTCTCGCACTCTGCGCCAGTTCCCATCATCCCCCTGTCGCCCTTCTCGCTTGTTCCGTACTCGCCTCACTAAAGGAGGAAACTATCAAAGATGGAGGAATTAATGAACCTCTACGGATTGTCCACCACTAACATTCCCAAAAGCTGTTAGTAGTGAGTTTTTTAAAGCTCATTCCATCCATTTTTTAAAAGTTAACTCCCATTAATGATGTTCATGTCACTGTTATTTCAGGAGAACGTTATGATAGTGGACAGTCCTGGAGTGGGAGAAAGTGAAGTGATGGATGAATTTGTAGTCAACTACATGTCCAACGCGTTCTGCTTTATGTATGTCATCAATACCCACAATGCTGGAGGAGTGCAGAAAGACAGGGTGAGAATTACTAATAGTTTATGTATTAATTGTATTGAAACCGCTAACCCATCTTTGGAAACAATACGCGCCTTGCTCTGTTGTCTTCTTGTCGTTTACAGCTCTACTAGCTCCATAAACTATTAATTTCAAGTGGCCAGTAGAATTTGAGTGTTTTAAAATACGTTAATCTCTTTATTGACTTAATCTAGTGGCACTTCACAACACAGGCATTAATCGATAGATTTAATACTTCAACTCGATAAAATGCGTAAAATGGCAGAAACAAAAAACCCAAAGCCCTTTGGATAATAAGCAGAATTCAAATTTCGCGGTCTGTGTTTGGAATTTGCGTAATTAACAATTATTCCACGAGGGCGCGTTGGATATGAGATGATATAAAGATAGCCAACGAGGCGCGTAGCGCCGAGTTGGCTATAATCATCTCATATCCAACAAGCGCGAGTGGAATAATTGTTTTATTAGAAACGCGCACAAAATCTCGTTGAATCTCCCCGACTAGAACAAACCGGAAAAGACTAGGGACTTCCGCTATTCACATGTCACACGTCTATCAAAACTGTCAACGCGCGAACGGACTCGCCTGGACTGCATGAATGAAAAATCAAAACATTGTAGCGATGAACATTAGTTTTTTAAAACTCATTGGGATTCTAGGATTTTACACAGCAGAACAGCTAAAAAAACNATCCATTTTTTAAAAGTTAACTCCCATTAATGATGTTCATGTCACTGTTATTTCAGGAGAACGTTATGATAGTGGACAGTCCTGGAGTGGGAGAAAGTGAAGTGATGGATGAATTTGTAGTCAACTACATGTCCAACGCGTTCTGCTTTATGTATGTCATCAATACCCACAATGCTGGAGGAGTGCAGAAAGACAGGGTGAGAATTACTAATAGTTTATGTATTAATTGTATTGAAACCGCTAACCCATCTTTGGAAACAATACGCGCCTTGCTCTGTTGTCTTCTTGTCGTTTACAGCTCTACTAGCTCCATAAACTATTAATTTCAAGTGGCCAGTAGAATTTGAGTGTTTTAAAATACGTTAATCTCTTTATTGACTTAATCTAGTGGCACTTCACAACACAGGCATTAATCGATAGATTTAATACTTCAACTCGATAAAATGCGTAAAATGGCAGAAACAAAAAACCCAAAGCCCTTTGGATAATAAGCAGAATTCAAATTTCGCGGTCTGTGTTTGGAATTTGCGTAATTAACAATTATTCCACGAGGGCGCGTTGGATATGAGATGATATAAAGATAGCCAACGAGGCGCGTAGCGCCGAGTTGGCTATAATCATCTCATATCCAACAAGCGCGAGTGGAATAATTGTTTTATTAGAAACGCGCACAAAATCTCGTTGAATCTCCCCGACTAGAACAAACCGGAAAAGACTAGGGACTTCCGCTATTCACATGTCACACGTCTATCAAAACTGTCAACGCGCGAACGGACTCGCCTGGACTGCATGAATGAAAAATCAAAACATTGTAGCGATGAACATTAGTTTTTTAAAACTCATTGGGATTCTAGGATTTTACACAGCAGAACAGCTAAAAAAACCTGGCAGATAATGTGAAGGAAAAGAATTTTTAAGTGTCAGCCGTCGAAATTACTGTGAATTTGGATTTTCGGTGCAATTATAAAACTAAGAACAACGGAGAAAAACTAGTACCTCGGTCGCTTGTTATGAAGTTGTTTGAAGCCACAAGCTGGTTTTGCTGAACGAGAAAAGAAGCTATACTGCCGCCTCGATTGCTCTAGTGAATGGCTGCATAGCCTGTATTTGTAGCTGGTTACTTGCGATTTATATTCTTGATGTCGGATAAACAAGCCGCAGTTATCTATCGGCGAGTGACTCGATCGGCGAATGGCTTCGCGATCGGTGTATGACATTTGCAGACTGCAGACTGCAGACTGCCGATCACAGATTGCAGATTGTAAATTAAATGACACCAAAAATCTTCCTAATAAAGGTGACGTCATCAAAAATAAAACAACGTGTGAAAGTGAGAAAGTAGCCTGGGAACAAGGTTGATATTTTTGCGCAAAGTTACATTGGCCTCATTCCCAAGATGCTGTCGGCTATTCTTCTTTGACTCTTTCTCAACTCACCCGGCATATCAATAATTGCGTTGATTCTTTATTCTTCTTTGATTATTGTGAATTGATAATGACAAGTAGCAATGCCCACTAATACCTGTCTAAATTGTAGTCTTCTGTAAAAAAAGGTTTTTAGATTGCAAGCACTTCGTGCTCACTACAGTTACGTCGACAAAAACAACTAGGATAGATCAAGGACATTTAACACCTTTTAAATGACGTATTTCATCTTAGGGATATGCCAAATAATCTAAAACGAACAGATCCTACCTGGACTCGACGAATTACCAGAAGTGCATTTTGAATTTCTAAATAGGCAAATCATTGCTCATACTCAAGTCCTAGTACACAGGTGGGGCCCCTGTAGAATAAGGATTCCGGCACTGTTTCACAGACAGACCTATATAACCGTAGTTTAATTTCGTCTGTGGTGTAGGCTAAATTGCTAGACGACTGTTGCTATGGATTCAAGAGCGAGTTTGTGACATCGGCATACATTATTCTGCTCTAATTCAATACGAAAAGAACAGCCAACAGCTCCTCTAGGAATGAGATCGGTGTAATTTGCGTGAAAAATATAACCTTCGTTTCTAGGCCTTACTTCTCGGAACAAGGTAATGTTGATGATGACCAACCTTTATTACGATATTTTTGGTTTCATTCAAAGTCTGCAGTCTGCAGTCTGCAAATGTCATACATGTCATACATCATGAAGAAACAACACTTGTCTTCTTTCGTAGCTGGTCAAGGTACTTTAGTTCCATGTGTTTTCATGTGTTTTTCGACAAACTTTCAAACAAGCTCTTGTTGCTTTTTTGTTTGTTTTTGTCTTTTTTCTTTCGATGAAATTGCATTTCTAGTATTCTAAGAAATGAATTAACACGATTTGCTTCGGGTGCCGTTCTATCCTTCGCGACAAAAAAATCTCAGCTAGCTTCCAATTTTAAACTGACGCGTACACCGACCATATATGGAGAGCATGGTATAATAGCCCATATACCATAACGGCTAAGCCAATCAAAATGCTAGAATTGCATTATCAAATGATTCAGTTTTTAATAATGGACGTTATTGCATGAGAAGCAACCTACACACCAATATTTTTATTATTCTGAAGGAGAAGAGAGAGGGAAAGGGGGAGAAATCTATCTAAACATACCTTAAGAGTTTTATCTAGCGATCAGTGGAAGTCAGCAATGTCTTCTTTGTTTTTTAACAGTTAGAAATGCTACTCCAGTGTGCCCAAGCGAAACTCACGAAGGATGATCTCGTCCTATTTACCGGATGTGCTTTGTTTGTCTGTAACAAGTGGGATCTCATTCAACCTAACGAGCAGGAGGAAGTAAAAGAAGCACAAGTCGCAAAGCTTTCCAAGAAGCTTCCAAATCTCGATCCAGGAAAACAAATGATCTATTTGTCGTGTAAAACTGCCCAGACTTGCCAGAAGTATGGCTACATCACTCCGGACTTCAACAACTTAATTGCTGGTATCGGCCATCTTATTGTCTCTGCAATGCAAAACAAGCTGGAAATGCACTTCAGGTATCTTAACAACTTAACAAAGTCTATGAGGAGAAAAGAAGCAACTTGCTTCAAATTTGGGGCATTACTGACTTAGTTTACATGCACTTTTAACCAGTCAGTTTCGAAAAAGGTGGGCTTGTCAAAACAGATCAAGCGCGCGTACCGCCATAGATGTTTTGATTGTGTGTATGAAAATCGAATCCGTTAGCCTTAGTTGTTCACACGAGACTCTATACATTTCCGTCTGCGGGCGTAATGAGCAATAGATTCGTTCGTCAGGGTGTTTGATATTCTGTTACCGAAGAGATTGTATGAAAACTGTGAAAGGTTTGAAACCAGGAGTATTTCATAAGTACTAGATTGAGGACGATCGTCCGGATGAACGTAGTCCCGGAACAGGACTGTTATTGACAATGACTGACGTTGCAGTAGTCACCTTCAGAGTATCACGTCAGTTGATGGTATTTTAAAAACTCTGGCGAGAGAGATTATTGACCTGATTGGTCATGATGAAGTCGCGATGTTATTGGTCGTCTGTCACAACATCGAGACTTAATAAAAAGAAGTTGTAGCCTAAAATTCGTTGATCACCTTACTTTTCAAACAGTACAAGGTTTTGCAAACTTGAATTTAGTGGGAAAAAAATGCAAAAGCGTGTAAATTTTTCACAGGCATGCAAAGGGACTAGTATATGGTAAACTCAATTAGAAATGATGATGCATAGTTTGATATGTGATGAGTAAAGTGTTTACTTTTGGCCTATTTATAAAAAAATACACTGATGTTTGTGACTGTACACATTTCTGGCCGACATTGTAAGTGTAATAGCCCTTTGAAAACACCTACTTTTTAAACCAAAATGGTACGTGTATTATATCCGTATAGTAATCACGTTTTCTTCTGGTGTAATAAAGAAATATTCATTAATTATCCATAAAGAGCTCCGAAGATCGTGAAATTTAAACTCAGTTAAAATTGTTCTTGCCTCCGATCCCTTTCATTGACTATCATATGGCATAAACCACCCCTAGGATCGAATCGACAGCGAACTAACGAATTTATTTTCCTTGCCATTATTCAACAGATGGCTGGAGGAAGTCCTTTTTCATGTCTCCCGTCAAGTTAAAATATTTCTTAAGACCACAAAGCTGTCCCACCAAGAAACAAAGGAGAAAATTTCAAAGGTAAAGAAGCGGATGAAAGAACTGCAAGAATCTCAGCAGCGTAAATTTGATGAGCTTAGTAAATATCAGTCAGAGATCCTAGAAGATATCATTGCAAAGCTGTCAGAGTACTTCAAATCCGAAGAGACGGTCAATAACTTTTGTAAATGGTCTCCTAATGAGGCTCCTAAGGTGAAAGAAACTTGGCAGCTGACGAAGGATGAAGTTTTAAAATGCATTTCAAAGAGAACACAGCAGTTTGTCCAGAAGTGGGAGGACGAAACGCACGAATTTGCGAGTGCTCAGGTTTCACTTGCTAAATTTTGCTGTGAAAAGTACGATATCATGGAAGGAGAAATTCATCAAGTGGAAGAATACGTCTTTTTGGACGTAGACGACATAGACGTCACGACGCAGGACGAAAATGCAACTCAAACACATTCTCAAGCAAAATCACGGAAAGTGGCTAAGGGTAGTGCTCCAATGTGGCTTAGACAAGGCTTAGCACCCGTGATTGTAGGATCTCCAATCAAAACACTTGGCTTGTACAAGACTGTCAAGAAGACGTTCCATTATAAAGGTAAACGGGAGAAGTACAAAGAAGACCCGTCTGCCTACATGTCAAAGAGATCAAAGAAATGCCTAGCGATGATTGGTACTGAAGATCGATTATTGCCCCTCATCAACGAACAGCTGGAAGATGCCGTTCAGTGCCTGAAACAACTCAAGGATAAAATGCCCAGGCTACTGGAATGTGACAACAAGTTTTACCAAAAGCTACTTGTTGATGACAGAAGTGAGAGTGAGATTAGAGAAATCTACGAACCTTTGGCTATGGAGGCAGAATTCCTGAGGCGCGAGCTAACCGTTTTTAGTCTCACAGAAATCAGAAAGTCGGACTTTACCAGGGATGAGCTGAAATGGGATGAAAATCGCCAGTCAATCATAGGAAGAGGAAATTTCTCGACAGTGTACAGAGGAATCCTTACTCAGAGTGGAAAACCGGAAGTGAAAGTGGCCATAAAAGAGTATAGACATCCCCTGAGTACCAGCAACATTTGGCATTTTGTCGATGAAGAAAAAGCGTTAAGGTTTGTTTCAAACAATCGTAAAAAAAGAAGATTACCACTCCGTAACCTTCAGCTAACCAATTGTTTTTCGCAGGCGTAATTTGGGTGGCGATCAATGTCGAAAATGACCCTTTTCCTATGACCCTAGGGCTAATTCTTGTAGTGCTCGGTTTCTGGGGCCCTCTCCAATCTTGTTTTACAGACTGAGGGTTTATAAGGTGCTTTGTGTTCGTCAGCAATAGTCTCTCATTACAACGGTGGTAGCAGCTAGAAAGTCCAGTTTAATACTCACACTAAATTAATATTCTGGTTAAGCCTTGGCATGATAGGCGTAAGTCAACCCTCTTCAAAACTTCAGACGTTTATTTATTTTCCTATCGAGTTATTTATTGTGAAATGCTTCTAAGCAAGTAAAAAATAAAAAATGAAAAAGTTCTTTTCTTCGCGCTATTAGAAACCAGCTCGTTCTTTCCTTACACTTCTTTTGTTAAAAAAAAACTTGTGGAAAAAATTAAGCCAAGGGAGCTTAGCTACTCGGTTGAATGAAAAACCTACTCATACATTGCTAGCAACGAATTATAGGCCCATGCTACTAAAGACTGTTCAAAGTATATGTGCCTAACTAAAGTTTTTTTTGTGTGTCCATGAAATTGAACAGAATTGTTTCACTATCTTGGTTTATTTTTTTAAAGAGAGTTGCAACATCCTGGCATCGTAAAATGTTTTGGAACCTGCCTTCTGCACGAAACAAATGGCACTACAGTAATGATTGTTTTGGAACTGTGTGACTGCTCCCTCAGAGAACTGGTAACTTCCGATCCGGAGAATGCCCCTGCTAGACTTTCCAGTGAACCAATAAGGAACAAGGTTTTAAACTGGGCTCTGCAGGTCTTGGATTCCTTGCGCTACATTCACGGAGAAGGATTTGTACACAGAGATTTAAAACTGGATAATTTGCTGGTAAGTTAGTTATTATACCACATTAAAGGTGCGTTTCTTTACTAAAATCCAAATCCGGATTTTAATCCAAAAACGGATAATTCGTTTCTTTACTAGAATACAGAAAACACATTATTGATCCAAATGATCCACAACGGAGGTGGATTCTTTGGATCATATCCAAAACGGAATACTTTGGATACACGATCCGAAGCGTTTCCTTACTACGGATTCGAAAAGAGTGAATACAGCCAGCGGTAACTCGAAACAATTTTTATACATACAGCAGCTGTTTGACAACACTACTCATCTTTATGGCCATTTTTAACTCGACACATGGATTGAACCAGGCATTTAACGTTTTATTGGGATGGTAAAATCGCAATACAAACAGGACCTGCATTGTCGCTACTTCACAAGGACAAATCGAGACAAAACTGCTACACAACTTCGCCGGGGCGTTTTGCATTATTTTACTTTTCCAGTAGATCTTATTTAATTTTAAGACTGTTCTTCACTTGGCCCTTCTGAAGCAGTATACTTGAGATAACCGTCCAGAATACAAAGAAAGATGAGCAAATCTGCAACATTATCAGCAGCCACGTTATTCTTTGTCCAGGACACCGTCGATAGTGTGAGTCGTTTCTATGGAAATGAATGAAAATACAGTGAAACCTCTGTTAAGCGGACACCCAATTAAGGAGACACCCTCAAACGGACACCAATTAACGTCTTATATTTCCCTTTATACCGAACCCCTATTCAGCGAACACCCAACTGAATTAATAGTAGTATTGGATTACGTCCTTGAAATACGTATTGTAGTCGATTAAGAGAGATAAATCAATACATTTAACTTTCAATAAACTGTAGATTAGACCGATACATCCGGCCGTTATCATCCGCGATCAAAGTCTTGCACAACGTACAGCACAGCTTCCTTAGCTTCCTTGACAACATGATACTTTATCACAGAACAGAGTAACTGTTAAATGTTGGTCGTTAACAAACATTGCGCAATCTTTATAAACCTTCATTAAGCGGAGCGGACAACCTTAGGAATTGGTCCCGAAGGTGTCCGCTTAATAGAGGTTTCACTGTAATCCTTTTTTGATACATCGTTTCTTTTCTTAACGAAAAATCCTAATAATCCGGATTTTTGATCTGATCTCGGAAGAAACGCACCCTTATTCATAAGGAAGATAATCATATGGACAGGGTAATGGTCGATTTTTCGTCACTGGCTTTACACTTATTTAACACCTTAACTCACGACGGAAAGGGTATTAAACTTGGAGCAAAGATCTTACGACACAAACAAATGACCTTAACCGTTAAGCTTGGCCTGTCTAGAACAGTGCTTTCCTTTGAAATCATAAATGGTTAATGACATCACATTTATATTATATATTAAGTTCAAACGTTGTGATTATGTTTAACTTATTTTTTAAAGTTGACACACGATGGAAAAGTAAAGCTGGCAGACGTGGGAGTGGGGAAATATGAGGAGGATATCACTGGTACCATTTGCGGCACGTCCCTGTATCTAGCTCCTGAAGTCTTGGAGGGTCGAATCTACAACAGCAGAGCAGATATGTATAGCTTTGCTTTTGTACTATGGGAGTTGTGGTACGGGGAGAGAGTGTTTGCTGATGCGGTGGTCAGTAGACAACAATCCAAGCTCCTCCAAGATGTAAAAGATGGACTTCGACCTTGTCATCTCGATAAAACATCGAAGCCTTCTCCACCATGGATAAGAGTCATGGAGTCCTGCTGGGAAGAAAGTCCAGGCAAAAGAATGACAGCTAGCGATGCTTTGGCAGTTTTAAAAGAGCTAAAAGGCAAAGGAGATGCACACTCGCGCAGTGATTCCCGCCCACCAACGCCGCCACCAAAGAAACCGGTACCATCGGAACGACGTCCCAGAAGCTACTCCCAGAAGCCCCCAGTCAAGCCTAAACCAAAGCCAAAATCATCTGTTTCCTATTCCTCAAAATCCGAAGATCTGAGTTTGCATTTAGATGCTAAGGAGTAAGGATAAAGCTCAGATGACACCGATTTAGCCTGTTGTAGACGACAAGTCCAACTACAATATTAAAGCAGTTGTCAAAGGGTAGCAAGAGAAAAAGGAGAAAGAACACTGGTAAACTGACGCACACTCGACACACCTTACTTTTACGTTACCCATTCCCTTTCATTATTGTCGTCATGATGCCAGGAAATTTGTGATGAAATGATACTGTTGTAAACAATGGCAGTGTTTTTTCTTTTTTTAACAGAGGGGTTCTTCTTAATGGCCAATTTGCAAACAAGGTCAGTCCCGTGTCAAAGTAACTAAAAGTCTAACTACATTTACGAAAAATGTACTTTGTAGATTTCACACTTTCTATTCATATATTTGAGTAGGCTTAATTAATTGTAAATGTATGGCCATGAAAACAAATGTACAGAACAGATCTACCTCAGATTTAGCAATATTAGGTCCTGATGCTCAGGAAATTCTTTGGGAGGATCCGGAGCAGAATTTTGAACTGTCACCTTCCTTCAAACGATGAATCCTTTTTCAGATCGGTGATATCGAACCGAACTAATTGATTAGATCTTGATCGGTACAGCACTTTCCTATAAACAAATGGATCCGGTATCAAATGCTGTGGATATCGGTTAAGGCGTTGCATAGTGCTTCCCTCCTTACAATGTTTGGCTACTTTTTACATGTATTCATGTAATCGAAAAAAAAATCTATTCAGTGATTTTGATAGGACTTAAGTGAGATGGGCGAGATTTTAAAAAAAGACAAATGCTGTGTACACAAACATTCACCTCAGTGTTTAAGCTGCCATTTCGCTCGTGTTATGGAAACTTAACCGAAATTCCCGATTCATTTAGTGTGCTAAGATCCGGAGTGATCAGAGATCTCGATCTGAACCGGATGCTTGCCGAGGAGTTCAGCCTTTGTTTATAACTAGCTTACATCTTGGATCTTTATCCCGTAACCGTCAATTTACTTTATTCTGTATTCTTGGTAGTTTGTTTTAAAAACTGTGCGACTCTAAGGAGTTGATAATATCACTTCGAAGGTAATTTTAAGAAGGCCAATAATCATAGTAATACTATAACAAAAAATAGGAAAGATATATAAATATTCATAGTTAAAGGCAATACTATTCGTATTAGCCAGAAGTTCTCTTATTAGCATTGTCTTTATTGTCCAATGTCCGCTATGTCTTTCTGGCAAACGGGGCCATATTTTTGGCGGACTAGATGCAGTACAGTAAGAAAAAACTCACCGTAAACGTAATTTTTTTTCCAGAAAGAAATAAAATAATAATAATAATAATAATAAAATAAAAAAACGGCTCCAAAAGAGCCAATATAATTTTCTTGAGTATATCATTAATCAAGGAGTTTTCGCGGCCCATTTTCCGAAGTTTTTCACAGGACAGCGCGTCGCACTAGGTATTTTTCACGCCTGCATGATCCATCAAATCTGCTGGAGAAATTTTCCTCTTGGACAACAGGAGGACATTTTGCATGTGCATGCATGGGCGCATCAAATCTGATGGCGGGAAATCGAAAATCTGGCGTAAAGTTACAGACCTGCACTATATAAAACCATTTCGTTGATTCTTTTAATACTGTACTTGAAATAAAAAATTAAACGAGCTTACCAGTAAGTGAAGTTTGATTATGATTCTCCTGAGCCGTTGCGTAGGAACGAAGGGATCACGTGAAATTGCGTGGGCAAGCTTGCTTTCAATTTTTAACATTGTCGAGTAAACACCAAAAACAAAAGGTAGGGGCCAAAGAGTAAATGGCCTAGCCCATGGCTCACTCAGTGTTGAGAAACGCACCAGTGCTGTGTGGGTGGGCACGAGATCCCTTTGTTCCTACCAAACAGCTCACGAAAATCAGAATCAAAGTTCACTTACAGGGAATCAGGATGTTTCTGAATACTCTTACCAGAAAAATAAGCTGTGTATAAAATTGGGACGGGGACAAGGGGACGGGGACATTGGGACGCATGTGTGGGGACTTGGGGACGCGAGAGGAATGACTTAGGGACATCAATTATGCGACGCGGGGACTTGTGGGATAGAGACGCGGGACGTCAAATACAAGGACGTAGGGGATGTGAATGATTATTGCAAAAGTCGGAGTTAAATGCGATATAAGTCACTTTCCTCGCGAATATGTTTTGGTGAACGCAGCTCACCCTACCCTCCTTATGGTTCCAATATTCCAGCAAGGAGACTTAGACATTGGTTTCACTTTCTTCCACGCAGGGGGTCTTCGCCGCGTTACTCGTCAGGGTGGATTTCCAAGGTAAGGTTATGCTGCGTTTGTCTCGATTATGACTAAAATCCTAACACATCCTTGCTTGAATCTTGTAAACTAATAATGTCGAGATATCTTTTCAAAATCTGCGTACAAAGACTACAATATAACGCTCGGTTTAGCAAAAGACACTTCTGAACCTAAAACTTCTGTATATTATAGTCGGGGATGTGCAAGGGTTGCGGGATTGTCAAAGCAAAAGCAGTAAAAGCTTACAGTCGCAATCCTCGATCCTCCATGACTGTTTACGAAGCGAAGACTCGGCGAAGACCCCCTGCATTGAAGAAAGTGAAACTACTGCACTGGTCTTCTTGCTGAAGGAATATTGGAGCCCTGATTGGAACCCTAAGCAGGGTAGGGTGGGTTGCGGTCGCCAAAATTTATACAGAATAACAGCATTCGATTCCATATAAATAAAAAAGAAGACTAAATTAAGTGGAATAAGCGAGCTTCGAACCCCGAAGTGCTAGCTCCGAAATCCATCGCCTGTACCACTACACCATAGGGGATTCAACTATTGTAACAATATTTTATTTTTTTTACATATTTTTAGTGGCAAACCTAACAGTAAATGCTTGTCAACAGTGCTTACCTCTAATCACGATAGTCAGTGCGCTTACTCCTATATAAGGAAATATTTTGTGTAAGCATCATAAGGTGTCTAATGTGGTTCTGGACGATGGAATCTAATG